ATTTGGGGGAAAGGGGCATGCGATTTTTAGAAAGCAAAGGAAATATTCTGATTGTGCCACGAGATCTAAAGCAGCTTTGTTCATTTTTATGAAACGTAAACTTTTTCGTTTCAGTCTTTTTGACAATTATGCAAATTTATTTGTTTAACGCTGCTTGTTTTTTAAGTAAAAAATTCGAACAAAAGTGTTCCTGTTTGTTTCGCTTATACGATGTAGTTTTTTACCTAATGTTGTCATAATAACCGAAACTATCAGGAAAAAAAATTACATTTGTATTGAATACAAAAGGAATTTATCCCTTCACATTGTGATTGTCATTTCGGTAAAAATAAAGGTAGATCAAACCGTCCAAAGTTCTATTTCGGTTTATTTTTCTACACAAAAACGTTCCTTGTTAAAACCTCGTCCATTTAAATGAGGACGGTTAATTGTCCGAAACGTTGCCGAGCCGGATCGATTTTTCCGTCCCGTGCAGCACAAGAACTGCATCGGCAGCAGTGATATAACAGCTATTAAAGCGCACAGCGCTGCAAACCGCAATAATACAGTTGTAATCGGTGGTTTTGGGCACCGCACCGCCGATATGGGTCTGGACGTAATGTTCGCAGAACGATGGGAATGGGTGGGTCGACGAACTCATTCGAACGGCCTTGGGTGCGACCTCTCCGCAGGGGGTGCGTCTCCGGTCGAGAATCACCCAACGGGAACCGGAAATTCGCAAATACGATCGCAATAATGAAGATGTCGAACGTTTTTCTCGATATTTTCGGTTTTTGGATACAAGCCAAATATTTTATATACACGGCAGTGTAGAAACATATTCGAAAGTGTGATAAAACAGAAAAACGCATTCGAAAGTTCAGCGAAATTCTTAAGATACATTATTGCTGTGATCCATTTCTGCAAATTCGTTCAAAAGTGAAACAAAAAGGCGAGTTTATTAACATCCTATATTTTGGTCAATTTTTTTCATATAAAAACTATATACAGGGTGTCCCACTAAGATCGACGAGGTACGATATTAGAGAAAGTATAGGCCCTAAAGCTTCGGGAAAAAAATTTTATTAATAAGAGAAATCGCTCGAAATAGTTTTCAAGTTCATAGCTCTACATACCAAAACATAGAGTTGAATTTTTCTCAGAAATGTTTCCTATTCAGGTATATTAAATAGTACAAATTTGGATTCATTGCGCATAACTTTTGTTATTGACATTTTGTTCTATCTCTCGACGGAAATGGTGGGAGAAGCCCCTAATATCTGATCAGAAAAATGCATTTTTTTAAGTATTGGCTCATCCAAAGCCCATAGTGTTATACCTCGTTGGAAAAGTATTTTCATGCTTTATATCGTGGTGAATGGGTAATGTCATTTACCTCAATATGGAAACCTGTTGATAGCGTTATTTCAAAAGAAAGCCGTTTATGGATTTTTCTCAAAAATTTTAAAATTACATAAATGAATTCAGCACAAAAAATTGATGAACATAGTATAAGTTTGAAATTTCTAACGAAAGTGTTATTTATTTATTGGCGCTATTTATCCAAGTTTAGGTTGTTTCACGTTTTCTTAAAAAACTGAAATAGGAAGATAAAACTTTTTATAGGTTAGGTAGTTTGAAGAGCATCATAATAGCTACATTTTGATGCCAAAAAGGGTTCAATATCTTTTTTTGTTATCAAGTTATTCGGAAATTAATGGGCAACAGACATTTAACTACCAAAACAAAATGCATTTATAAAAGAACCTACCTAAACCCACGCAAATGAGTGAGTCAATAACAATTTTCAAATAATAACAAAAACAATAACAAACAGATGTTGATATTGGTTGATTTATTCATCAAAAATTTTTTTCCGAAGTTTTAAGGCCTATAGTTTCCCTAATATCGTACATTTCCGACCTTAGTGAGACACCCTGTATACTTATACTACTTTAGAATTCTCGAAACATACGCAAAAGTATTCTAAACCGAAGCAAAGTTTGAAAACGCACTGTTTTTATCATCTAATTCAGAAACGAAGCAAAAATTCAAGCCGTGGGCGGAGGGTTCTTTTTTACCAAGTCTAATATTTGCACAGTCTTGTATCACCGAGTCGCCGTATTTGTCCGTCAAATACTAAGCAATTTTAATAGTTAATAAAGCTTGTCCGTTTCTTACTCGAGTGGCTCTTCTAGAAGTACATATTTGCGTTGATAGAAAGGCACTTTCGTTACAACTCTCGATTTTCCTTCTTATAAGCAGTTCGGATGAGTAGAAGCTCAGGTAAAGTAAGTGGGCGGCATGTGGGAATATTCAACGTAAGACTAAACAAATACGCAAAGGATGTAAGAGGATAGTTTTTTGTTTTTACAATCGTTGCGTAATTATAACTGCTTTTGTATACAGGGCGTTGCTCAAACGCTCGGACAAACTTTAATGGCAGGTTTTACGTTTTAAACTGAAGCAAAGATTTTAACAAGTTACAAGGAACACTCGAGGAACACTAGAATAATTGTTGTCATTATTTCAAAAATAATTTGATGTCAAAAAATAGCTTCAACACCCTACATAGTATTAAAAGAAAAAAGTGAATTGATATAGTATTAAAAGAAAAAAGGTATCGCAAAAAGGACTGATAGAACATAAAAAAATAAAAATATACTAGTAAGAACGATAGAAAGCAGTCGAAAAAGTAATGTACCAAATAAACAGGCTAAAGAAGGAAAAAATTTGGTAAAGAATATAAGAAAGAAAGCAAGATGCTTTCGATCTTCTGAGGTATAAGATTGAGAAAGTAAAAAAGATGCAAACAAGAAAGCAAGGTGCTTTCGATCTCCAAAGATATAAGATTGAGACAGTTAAAGAAGAAGTGAAGTGATTGGGACCACATTTTTGGAGCAATTTAAGGATCTTTTAGTTCAAAATCGTAAGGACCTAATTTTTTATAGTTCTTGTATGAGCCTGAGAAGACAAATGGATGGAAAAAAAGACTGGAACCAAATACCTTGAGCAATTTAGACATCCTCCTGATTCAAGATGTTAAGGACCTGACTCCCCATATAGAAAAAAGCAATTGAAAAAGATTAAAAGTAATGACAGGGACTATTCTAGGTAAACTGGCTAAAGAAGGAAAAAATTTGGTAAAGAATATAAGAAAGAAAGCAAGATGCTTTCGATCTTCTGAGGTATAAGATTGAGAAAGTAAAAAAAGAAGTGAATTGATTGGGACCACATTTTTGGAGCAATTTAAGGATCCTTTAGTTCAAAATCGTAAGGATCTAATTTTTTATAGTTCTTGTATGAGCCTGAGAAGACAAATGGATGGAAAAAAAATACTGGAATCAAATACCTTGAGCAATTTAGACATCCTCCTGATTCAAGATGTTAAGGACCTGACTCCCCATATAGAAAAAAGCAATTGAAAAAGATTAAAAGTAATGACAGGGACTATTCTAGGTAAACTGGCTAAAGAAGGAAAAAATTTGGTAAAGAATATAAGAAAGAAAGCAAGATGCTTTCGATCTTCTGAGGTATAAGATTGAGAAAGTAAAAAAAGAAGTGAATTGATTGGGACCACATTTTTGGAGCAATTTAAGGATCCTTTAGTTCAAAATCGTAAGGATCTAATTTTTTATAGTTCTTGTATGAGCCTGAGAAGACAAATGGATGGAAAAAAAATACTGGAATCAAATACCTTGAGCAATTTAGACATCCTCCTGATTCAAGATGTTAAGGACCTGACTCCCCATATAGAAAAAAGCAATTGAAAAAGATTAAAAGTAATGACAGGGACTATTCTAGGTAAACTGGCTAAAGAAGGAAAAAATTTGGTAAAGAATATAAGAAAGAAAGCAAGATGCTTTCGATCTTCTGAGGTATAAGATTGAGAAAGTAAAAAAAGAAGTGAATTGATTGGGACCACATTTTTGGAGCAATTTAAGGATCCTTTAGTTCAAAATCGTAAGGATCTAATTTTTTATAGTTCTTGTATGAGCCTGAGAAGACAAATGGATGGAAAAAAAATACTGGAATCAAATACCTTGAGCAATTTAGACATCCTCCTGATTCAAGATGTTAAGGACCTGACTCCCCATATAGAAAAAAGCAATTGAAAAAGATTAAAAGTAATGACAGGGACTGTTCTAGGTAAACTGGCTAAAGAAGGAAAAAATTTGGTAAAGAATATAAGAAAGAAAGCAAGATGCTTTCGATCTTCTGAGGTATAAGATTGAGAAAGTAAAAAAAGAAGTGAATTGATTGGGACCACATTTTTGGAGCAATTTAAGGATCCTTTAGTTCAAAATCGTAAGGATCTAATTTTTTATAGTTCTTGTATGAGCCTGAGAAGACAAATGGATGGAAAAAAAATACTGGAATCAAATACCTTGAGCAATTTAGACATCCTCCTGATTCAAGATGTTAAGGACCTGACTCCCCATATAGAAAAAAGCAATTGAAAAAGATTAAAAGTAATGACAGGGACTGTTCCAGGTAAACTGGCTAAAGAAGGAAAAAATTTGGTAAAGAATATAAGAAAGAAAGCAAGATGCTTTCGATCTTCTGAGGTATAAGATTGAGAAAGTAAAAAAAGAAGTGAATTGATTGGGACCACATTTTTGGAGCAATTTAAGGATCCTTCAGCAGAACAAGCGATCGTCGGAAAATAAGCGAGAGGGCATCCCGGGAGAGGAACGCCGACGGTTATGCAGATGAGCGCCATCCCCGTCATCTAATGAGCCTGGAAATAGACCCGCGAGGCCGCGAGTCGCGCTTCCAATGGGCAAGTTATAAATACGCGACCATTCCACCTGCCGAGGAGAAGAGGTACCACCCCACCACCTCTCCACCATCGGGCACCACGCTAGGAAAAGAAGCGGTTCGTCGATCGCCGAAGCATTTCTGTGGTGATCGTGACCGCGAAAGCACCAAGCACAAGGCCAAGGACTCGTTGGGTAGTGTCAGTGTCGCCTTACGCAGAGCACCATCGCGAACAGAGCGCATCCGAAGGTGCCGATCAGAGGAAGGAAGCAAGGTAGGTGAATTGTACCGCTGTGGTTCTGTGTCGGTTTTAAGCGCTGGGGGGGTTCCTCGGCGATGGCAGAGATAATGCACGAGGAACTGGTCGAGGACGAGTTCAGAAAACGGGTAAAGGCGGATTTTTTGCGAGTGCCGGTCTCGGCAATTATTATCGAAACTGGAATTGTCTTGTTTTTATCTCCTCGGATCTGTTTCTCGGGAATTTTGTTGTCGCAGCGGAATAGAACGCGGTTTTCGCTCGGAAAAGTCGATAAAAATCGTAAAAAATATCGCCGCCTGACCTTGGACGAAGGGAATTTTGTGAATTATCAAACCGAAAAAAATTAAAAGTATAAACTCATTTTGAAGCAATGTTTTCGTTTATTTTAACTTCTGATGAATATCTAAATAACAAACATGGGTAAATTTTTATAATAAAATCAAAAGATGCCCAAAAATTTAATAACGATAGAATGTTTTAAAATTCCGGGAAGTTCCGGAGATATCCGGAAAAAAACGAAATTTTGCAAAATCGTTCTATTTTTTTCTGGCTTTATTTGAAAATGAATTTTAGAATAAATTGCACATTTGCACTGCCACTTTTTCGCTCTATCCAATGGCGTCAACATTTTTGCAATCCGGCGTTTCGTCTTCGAGGGGCCATCATCAGGTTCATTTTTTTAAATACGTCGCTGCTATTTTTATGACAAAATTTAAAGTCATTTTTAATTCTGAATTAGATGATATAACTATTGTTAAAAAGGTTTTTAGCTTGTTTTAGCTATTATTTAAAATTTTTCCTGAGTACGACTCCGAACGCTTTCAAAATATCTATTGGAGGAAGTCATAACAGTATAAAAGTCAATACAGTACAAAATATCCAACAATTTTTTTTACTACTATTAGCAATACTAATTAAAAATAATAAAACACTTCAAATTTGTATTATTTTTTTGTTAGATACAATTTTTTTTAAATTATTGATTAAAAGAATTGTTGAATATTTTGTGCTGTATTGACTTTTATACTGTTATAACTTCCTCCAATAGATATTTTGAAAGCGTTCGGAGTCGTGCTCAGGAAAAATTTTAAATAATAGCTCTTTTTAAACGATTACAATAGTAATATCATCTAATTCAGAATTAAAAATGATTTTAGACTTTGTCATAAAAATAACAGCGACGTATTTAAAAAAATGAACCTGATGATAGCCACACGAAACGTCGGATTGCAAAAATGTTGACACCGTTGGATAACGCAAAAAAAGGGGCAATGTAAATGTGCAATTTATTTTAAAATTCGTTTTCAAATAAAGCCAGAAAAAAATAAAACGATTTTGCAAAATTTCGTTTTTTTTCCGGATATCGCCGGAACTACCCGGAATTTTAAAACTTTCTAAACGGCATATTGTTAGGTATAAAAAAACAAAACTTTTTTCTAATCTGAGCCACCCCGTATCTCTTACCGTTTCCTAGATCCTAATGCCTATCCCATCCTTATCTTGGACACACTGTATTTTAGGGTACCTATGGAGAGATATTTACTTTTTGAATGATAAACATGTGAACTTATTTATAAGAAAAAAAAATAATATCAAAAGTTTTATACGACTTATTTAAAAATGTTACGAAATTTAATCAAACAATCTAAAAAACTTTATATATCAACGATCAATATGATTATTATAATTTTTTTAACCATTGTGATCAAACAATGAGTAATTCTAAGAGTTTTAAAGGCAATTTATTAAACAAATTTACTATAGTGTTTGGATTGTGAGATACAAAATGTTAAAGTTTCTGAAAATATTTCTTGGTATATTCAAAATGCCTGAAAATTTATACAGGCAGATATTTTGCTTTTGGTCGGAAATTAGAAAGATTTAAAACTGAGGTAAAATTGAGAGATAAAAATCTCTGTTAATATTTCTTAGTCCTTGAATAAGACCAGAACTTTTATATTTTGGTGTTTTTACATTTTAATTTTTTAGCTTTACGTCTATATTTTCCTATGAATTATTAATTAAAAAAAAATTCGGTAAATTCATCCATATTCTCTGTAATTAGTGTTTTCATTTTGTGTTTGCGATAAAGATACGTATGAATTAAATCTCTAAAAATGTGTTTGAAAATACAACAAAATAGCTAAAAAATTTAATTATTCCACCAAAACTTAATTTTCTAAGAATATAATATACAGGCTGTTTCAGAAAGACCTCCCGTAAAGACAAACGGTGATAGTACGACAAAAAATAAGAATTTTTTGTCTTATGAACTATGTCTATCTCCTCTTGTTTTCGAGATACAGAGCGATAAAATAAAAATTTTTAAATAGAATTTATACAAAAATTTCCAAACGGTGCGAAATATTTTTATGAAATTTGGTACTTAAAGATGCCAAATACGTTGGTCTAATTATTTTTTGTATACTTTATAGAGAGCGCTAGTTATGCTACATTCATATTACATTTTAAGTTCTATTTTTTTTGAGGTTAGGTTTTTCCCATTCCCATTACATTCCATTCGGGCTCCAATTTCTAATGTACAATTTTATTTTCTAAAATTAAAATACTCTGGTTAGAACTTTGTAATGTGGACGGTTTTCGAGAAAAAATGTTTTAATTAATCTCTTACAATATTACAGTGTATAAAATAATGACTTTTCTCAAAGTAGGCTTATGTCAAAGATGTCTGATAAACAACGCATACATTCTTAGTAATATTTTAAACTCTAACTTTATATCAAAATTTTAGTGAATGTATTATCATTTATCATTACAAACTACAGTCACTAAAATCACTACCTATTTCAAGTAGTTTTGTAAGTATATCTTAAAAAATTTTTTTTTTTTTTCAAATCTCGTATCTCGAAAACCAAGATTTATATAAACTTTTTTGTTTATTTTCACCCGAACAACGTTCTCTCAAATTTTGTGCACTTCTTGTCGACTTTGACGATTCGAAAGATAGGTAAAATTATGCAAATCTACATATAATTCACATCAGCATCAACACAAAACAACACAAAATTATCTGAGCGACAACCACCGGCTCTCTCGTCTAAAAGTAACGTTACAATCCTGGAAAACACTAAAAATAAACACTCCGGGTTGCGCTAATCGTAAGTAATTGAAGTTTATTAACTGTCGCAGAACTGAGCCGGAAAGTCAGCGCGCAGTTTGCAACATTCTTACAAACTTATTTTTCGGTCCGCTAAAGTTCCGTCGTAAAAATTTGTCGCGAATATATTCAGCGAAAATAGTAAAAAGTTTATGTGGAGTTCGGGGAAGTTGCCCGAAACGGAGGTGGCGGATTAGAGAGACATGTATTTGAGACTTTTGGAAACTGCAGTAATTCTTTAATCACTATAAGCGGATGTGATTCTTGGAAATGCAACAATTCACACGGAAAAAAACTGGTTTCCTATCAGAGAAAGCGAGTAAATGTTACTCAAATAATTGCTATTGCGATATTAACGCCGTTTTAGATTTTTTTCTAGATTTAACACTTGAGCTACTAAAAAAACGACTTAAACGCTATGTAAAACTTGATTTCCATTCATTTGCATCGATTCTAACACCAATTTCCTGTACGTCTATTATACACATGTTACAAGTTAAAGACACTAATGCTCTTTTAGCCATCCTCAATGGTTCTGCTGCCATCAGCATTCATAATACCTTGCCCATAATAAAAATAAGACAAAACCACACGTACCTACCAGTGGGAACGACGAAAAATAACATCCGTTCATCGACTCCAACAGTTGGTTCTGGGAAAAAAAATCTGATAATAATGCCATCTTCCATACTGAATATTAATAGAGTGACAGTAAATCACACAGGTGTTAATATGGCGGTTGATAAGCTTGTTAAAATGGCACAAAAAAAGAACTATTTTATATAGGGAGGGATAGAAATTTGTAGGACCTTAGTAATGTTTCATTCTTAAAAAAGTGTTTTGTTGCTTTCGCACAAAATAATATTTTTCGCAAATTACCACAATGACACGAAGAAACATTTTTGGAACCGCTGACTAGATTGATAGCTGATTCTGTATGAAAGTATTTACATTAATGTGCCCACAAAATGGGATAAAAGAGCAAAAGGCGCGCTATCTACAACCGCAACTATTCAGTGCAGGGAACAATTCCAGAAGTTCTCAACAAATGTTCACAAATTCGAACGTTATTAATTCCTAAACATCGTTCTACTATTAAACGGTTTTCATAATTGAAAACGCGTTGTGCTTCACCAAACCAACTTGGAATTTTGTCACGCAGCGTATACGAAAATCAGTATTTCCCACCGAGAACGCTGTATGTTCGCTGCGACCGCAGACTTCTTCCAGACGTAAATTGTGAGGTATGCGGTGTGTGCGTGATTCAATTTTATAAGCTGCCTCGAAGATGACATGGGAATAATTATAAATGCGACTTATGTAATGCCACACAAGCGCTGAATTCGTCGGAATTGCGGTCCGGGCGAGGGAAAAGGCACGTGTGAGGTACGTGGTGGCGACCCGTTTGACAGTACGACGGTTGGTTTTCGCGCAGAACGATAAAATGACGATAATGGGATATTGCTAGTTTTGGGTAATAATATACCGCACCCACCATGTCTCTCGATTGCTAATATATCTCTAACTCCTGCATTAGCCAGTAACATTACCGATGTTATTCGGAATGAATGGCCTGTATATGTTTCAGGATGTTCTAGTCAAATGTCAAAATGAATTGATTAAGAAATGTCAAAAAATAAAATCTAATCTTTATTTCATGAACCATAAAGAACTGTGGCAGCAGATAATATGTTATACACCACGCAGCAGTAATTTACAGTATAATTTACCTCCTTTATGGTGTAAATAACTACTACCATAACATTTTTAGTTATATTAATTCTATTTTTAGTCATTAAACCTTAACTTCCGGCGTTCGAACCAACCAAGAACATCTGAATTGTAGAATACGTCAACGCTTGAGTTAAAAAAGCTAAAAGCCCCATATATAACATGG